GTGGAACCATTTGAATTCTACACACACAACATTGGCTAAAACATAGGATTTGGTGAAGTCAACGATGAAATTGTTTTTTACCTTTTTGACGAAATGCTTATGCCAGTAGGTAATTTCAAACCATCTTTCGAAGTAAAACTTGATTTATCAGTAACCGATGCATTATCCTATGGTAGCGAAGAGAGTTCATATTTACAGCACAGAAATATCGATCATCTTACATATACCTCATTACAATCCATCTCTGAATCGCTTGGGTTACTTCCATTAGACTCTTCATCATCAATCATTTCATTATCCTACCAAATTGAAAAAGGTGTCTTATATATATATACATTAATATTTATTGTAATCTCACATATTTATGATTTGACTTAGCCTTTGAATCATTCGAGCTATTTTCGTCGGATTCTTCATCATTGATCATTTCATCGTCCTAAAAAATTTAAAAACTCCTTGGTGGGTGTATGACAACATATCCAAGCCTCTTACACTGTTATCATTAGAGTCAGTCCCTACATCACCTGAAGTATTTTCATTTGAACTTTCATCCTTTTCTTCAGTCATTCCATCATCATCTTGACTCAACATATCAATTTGCAATAATATTTGGTTTAAACCTAAATTTGCCTCCCACTTGTTGTACATCCAACGACATGTGTTGCAGATGAAACAATCAGTAGGCATTTTCTCGGGAAACAAACGAGCACTCACGAAAATAATGAGTGACTTGATATTAACCGGGCGCTTACTATCTCTACTGAAACGCTTACCACAACAAACACAATCATCTTTCGAATCCATGTATTAACACCAAGAGTGCCGAATTACACGTAATAAACCAACTATAGTGACTCACCTCACCAATACGTTCAATTAAATAATACATTTAAACATAATTGCGCACTGATCCACGTATCCGTGTTTTCCCCTCCTTTTATTTTATCCTCCGTCGTGGATATTAAAACAAACATCCACTAACTAGCGAATAAAACAAAATATAGAGGTCACATCATCCAATGACGATCGTCACTGGATTTCTCCTTAAAGTGTAAACAAGTTATGCACATTATGAAAAATCATTCGTCGTCGTTTTGTAGGGCTTAGTTAGAACTATATATGGAGAAAAAATCACGCCGGTGTCTATCTTCAATATTGAGATCCATGGGAGACTATTAACAGAATCCTACGTGAAAAAGACTATGATATGTTTTAGTGCTCCTATGCGCACCCCTTTTCCCAAGCTTTTCTGAAGCAAGTTTTTTATGGTTTTGTTCAGCATTTAGTGCCGTATTCAAGA